TACATCCGCGTGTCCTACTGGTACAGGACCACCTCTGTGTGAAGAGTTCAGAAAGAGCTCAAACGATCTGCTGGCATTTACTCTGCTATTGGAAGGCAGGTGATGAGTTGACCAAGCAATGGCGAGGACTTGGACTGTCCTAGGTGATGTGCCCTCTTCTTTCACACAAGCAGGCCCCTGGATAACCAAAGGGCCAGTGTAACCTTTGTGGCTGCTCTGACTTCATGCGGTTGTCTTGCCATTAACAGTTCTTTGCTGGCCGTGAGCCCATTTCATGTGTAAATGTGACAGAAAGACTGGGAGTTTATGAAGCTAGAAACAACACTAAAGAGAAGCCTCTGATCACAGACAGGACAGTTATGGCTTGATGGGCTTGTTCCAGGAAGGAGACTTCCATCTGAAGGTTGTGAGGCATTGTGCTATCCTGAGCAGCTTTAATTAATGTTTTTTCCTCCCTAACAAACATAAATAATGAAGATTCTGATGCTTAATCTGGATTCGTAAGTAAACTGTGAACTGAGAGCAGAACTTCACTCATGTCACTTTATTAATATTGATCTGATTTCATTACAGTAGGTAACTGATGTGAAACTGACACTGATGTAATATTGAAGAATGGCCACTGTTCTTTAACCTGATACCAAACTTCTCATTTGCAGTTTGCTTTTACAGCACTGTCAGCACACCTATGGAGGTAAGCTTTAAATTGAAGTACTGGGGCAGGGCTGGGCATAGGATCAATAAAGCCTTGTTTCTATTCCTTGGAACACTTAATGTCAAGAATAGTTATTTTTTTCTTTGAAACAAAGACCTTTGGACAGTCTTCATAATTAAATAAGCACATTTGAGCACTAGCCAGTAGCTTGGCAGGGGGGGAATTTTCTTGGGAAATATGACCCATATGAATTTTGTACTAACAGATATTTTCAGGCCTGTGAAGGATGTGGATCTACCTGGGGAAATGTCCACAACTGACATGGCATTTTCAAGGAGCAGGATTTACCAAGTGAGCTGATGACAAACCAAGCTGGAGACCAATTCTAGCACTATCATGCCTGTAGGGAGACCACCTGCAGTGACGTGGGACTGGAGAGCTGTTCCAGCAGGTCTGATGAGGGATCAGGACCCTCAATTATTAGGGTTATGAACACCAAGCTTCCATAAGTACGTGGCTGAGATGTGCATCTCAGCAAGACAGAGGCAGCAAAATACTATGAGGTTTCCAAATTTTAATAGCGCAGAGACAGCAAGTCACCTTCCCAAGTCTCCCTCCTGCTGAAAAAAAATGAAGAATCACTTGCTTTCTTTGCACGGAAATAGATGCATGAAACTGCACACATCTTTCCTGGAGAGTAAAGGAAAAGTATAGTATTCAGAGCAGGGCAGGAGCCATGCTCCAATACTGCTCCGTACATTGAACCACTGATTCCATAGCTTAAAGTAAGAATTTTTGCAAATGCTGAATAAAAGCATAGCAATTTTCTGAATAAGCGCAAGAAATGGCATTAATTATACTAACATTATTGTCTACCAAAGCTGCTTTCAATCATTTTAATATTCAATAGCATGCATCATCATGAATTGGTGATAAATATAGATGAATAAAAGGTAGCGATAATGAAAGTTATACAGGTGTAAATTAGAACATATTTTTAAACTACTATGAAGTCACAGCTTCTTGAGATAACATAAAATTATAGGATATGTGCACATCCTAAATTGAATCCTGGAAAATTTTGTACTGTTCGTATGCTAGTTGATTATCATTTGGGCAACACTGTCTGGGAAAGTTACAAAACCTCCATTTCCATAGCTTCCTACTGCAAACCTTATTCTTAACCCCAAGGAGCCAGTGTGGGGATGGTACAAGCCATTGTGTATCATTGGACATATTCAAGCCATGGTCACTTACTATTTGGGGAGCAGCTATGGAGGCACTGTAACCTCAGGTCCCCAGACTCAGCCCTCTCCTCCTCAGTCCTGGAAAAGAGAATATAGAAGTAGCACCTTTAACAGAAACAAAGGCTGCTCCCAAATGTACAGAAATGGAAGGGTCAAAATCAGTAAGAGTACAACATACCTGGGCTCCTCCATCTATAGCCAGCCAGGCCCATTATGGAGATAGTAATGGTCTCACGAAGGACTCTGTTCCATTGGCTTTGCCCCTCTCAGGGGAAAGCTCATGTAAAGAGGCCATGGGGAATAGAAATGAGGGGCTCAGGGCTGCATCTCTCCCAGTCTTTTACTCTTCATGATGACTCTAACCATCGGGACCTAACAGCATTGTACAGTATGTGTGTGTGTTGGAAGTGGGTATGCTGCTAGTGCTACAACATTTAAGTGCCAGTCCGTGTAATTTTCCAGAAGGAACAGGTCTGCAGATAAACATTCCTGTGTTGCAGAGTAAAGTACAGAATAAATCCAAGGCAGAATGTTACACTTATCCCTGTGTGCTAACGAAACGTAAATAGTCAGATTGGAAATTCTTATTGATGTTCATATGAAAAGATACTGACTCTGTAAATGGGAGTTACAGTAGGTCAGTAGCTTAAAACCTGTTTAGATATCTAGGTGACCAAGGAGGAAATCAGAGCAAAAGGTTGGCATGTCTTTGGAGAGCATTGATATAATCTGCACAACATCTTACATGAGCAAAATGGAGTTAGAGAAAGCAAGCTGTGAGTAACATACAGTAGAGAAATGGAAAATAGCATATGTGAATGATGATTTGAAAAGTTCTAATTCTCATAGTCTTGGGAATAGTCTTAATTTATTCTCTCTGCAATAGCTTTGGTCCTGCCGTCTGTTTCAAGCAGCTCCTAGCACTTCAAAATTACATCTTCTATCCCTGCAGAGACATTTTGTCTCCACTGGTGTCAATGCAGTTTGAACACAGTTCACTCTAGAATGTCACCAGTAGCATCTGCCTGATGTTGGGTTGGTTTTGCAGATCAGAGTAAAGGCTCAGTCAGCAAGAAAAATGTTGTGAAATCAGCTGCAAAGCCACAATGGGTGTTGATGGACAGCTGCAAGTTGGCAAGTGCTGTGCTATGGATGACTGAACAGTGGAAGGCTGATTCTTCCAGATTTACTTGCTAAATTTATCTGTTGGTTGAACAGCACCTGATACGTGAGATTTGCTTCACAGTTACCAAAAAGCTGGATATCAGACTAGAGACAGGGCTTTGCTGATCTCTTGGGTCCCCCACTGGTGCCAGGGTGGGCTAACCTCCTTACCCCTGTCTGCAGTGCCTTTAGTTGCGAAGGGATTCAACACTCCTTGCCTCAGATGGCCTGACCAGGCACGGGCGTATTTCCAAAAGCTGCTACTCTTTCTCCTCTTGTTAATAATAAAAGTGGGCAGTTGGTAATTCAAGTTTTCTTGTATCACTTCACTAACTGTTTATTCCTTGCTCAAGGCAGTGACTACCTCTCCACAAGTTCACCTGGATTTGATTTCCACCCTTTCATCCCCTCTATCCTTGACCCCAGGCTTCAATCCTCATGTACTCTTACCCAAGCCTCTATGTTCTCCTGCTCCAGATCTTCCTCCCCATAGGTACAACCATAGCTTATCAAACTATATAGGGAGAACAAAGAATCCCTGTCCCTTTGACTTATCTGGAAGGATGCTCAGAGCAAAGGAAGCAGAAAGGTATGTGGACGGTTCCTCCACCACTAGCTGGGGTAAACTGTAGACAATGGACCATGCTCAAGGTTATATGGGATAAGAGTATTCATAGGAAACAGAGCAGAAAATGAGGGGAGAGATACCTGTTATGAACTGACAATTAATAAACTGAAAAAATAAAAAAGATGAGCAAAAATTATAGACAAATATACAGTCAAAAGGAAAACCAGAGAAAGGAGGACAACCAATAATAGGACAAAGACTGAAAGCTGACATGTTACAGATAATTCTACTGCTAATTTTATAGAACACTTAGTACATGAATAATACCTCCAAGCCTGTATCATTTAGCTGTTCTACTTAGCGTTACTCTGAGGGCTATCGTATCTTTTATATCTGAAGAGCTATAATCTTTTGATTTAATGGTGTGAACTACAGAATCTGTGTTGTCTGGACTTTTCAAAGTATCTCATGTCTGTGAAGGAAATAATTGTTGAATAACACCATAAATCTTTGATTTTTCAGCAGCTCTTTAAATGTTTTCCCAGTGATGGAAACAGTAAGATGCTCAGTTGTTGAGAGGCAAAGTCTGTGCTTTTGCAGTTGTAGGTAGTCAGAGAATTTAACTGTCTCTAGATAGGCTGTGTGGACTTAGGGCTGGGTAACTCTATGCGCTGCTTAAGGTGTAGTCAGACCAGGCAGCATTTGGGGTGCACACATGCATTCACGTAGTTTTAAAGGTCTTTCCTATGTTATTCACAGCTGAGGCAGTTGTTAGGATGAGGAGATGGAGGTTAACAAGCAGAAGTAATGCAGGCTGTGCGAGGCGGACATGCAAGGGATGGGGATGGGGTGAGCTGGTGGAGAAGTGGGGGGTCAGGACAGCAAGCTGTGCACTGATGTGGCTTATCTGCTGCGTCCCCTGCACTGGGTGGTGAACATGGTGCACACTTGTTGAACTGGGGACTCTCAAGGGAGCATTTCAGCTCTTTCATCTAATGTGTCTTTTGTTATATGCAGTTACATGTGATTAAAATTAAGTGAAATACAATGATACAAAGTTTGAGAAAGTACTTGCAAGGTTAGCAGTATTTTACTGTCAGTATTTTTCATAAAGCAAATTTCTTCTCTGCGAGCAGGGACCTGAAGGAGAATATTCTAACAAAAAACTTTAATCAGGCAAAATGCAGCTGTTGGGAAAAACGATAAAGATTTAACTTTCACTAGAAATATACTGGTCTAAGAAAACTGCCTATTGCACAAAGTCTGTTCAACACAGAGGCTAGATGTGTGTGTACAGCGGGTGCTGGATGCGTGCTGAGGCAAAGAAACATGCAAAGAGGGTAGTGATATGTACAAAGTAACTGGAAGGAAGGCAGGCTGGAGGGTTTTATTTATGAGATATGAAAGGGAACACGGAGGTGTAGGAGTAGGAGGGAATGTGAAGTATCCCAGGGTATATGCACAGGAAGGAAAAAAATTTAAGTTATTTTCTATTTGTGCTAAGAAGATCAGAGCTTGGGGAAGTTGTGTGCTTGCTGGGACTGCTGGCACCCACAGCATGTAACAACACTGTGTTGCTAATTGATGATCCCTGGACACCCCCCCCCAGTCTCAGAGTATCCTCAGGTCACAGCAGTGAAGCCAATCACGAATACACTAAATGAAAGAAAAAAAAAAGAAAGGATGTAATGCTGCACAGCTTTAAATCTCTGGAATGATCCCATGGTAACAATAACTCTGGGCTTCTTATTATGTATTCAGATACAACAATTAAAATAATCTGATATAAAAAAGGAAAGTCATAATCATGAAGTTTGGGAACACCACATGCTTGAGCTGTGTTTGCCAAGTGCGTGTGGAGGGGCTTGGAGGACGTGACCAACAAGTGAACGGTTCACACAGATTCAAAATGAAGAGGGAAGCTGGAAGGACAGAACAAACTATGCAGTGTGGTCATGAAGCAAGTGGCAGAGACAAAGCACTGTCTCTGTATACTGGTCAAGGTGCCTCTGGCCAGTATAAAGAGCAGTCACAAAGAATAGGCTGTTCTGAATGCACATTGCCTAGTATGGAGCTTGTTTTGAATAATACATATAAAATAAGGATTAAAACCTCACTGGTTTGTACTGGCCAAGGTGGGACTTGTCACTTGCCCTGGGCATGTGTGTTAAATACCCTGCTAGATGCACAGGTAAGTTCAAACCTTCCTTCCGAGAGACCTGAAAAAGCCTTGATGCTGCATTTGACCTGTTGTTGCTCTTAGGAGCCCTTCACCTGCTAATCTAATGTGTTGGGGTGAAGGTCTCTCGATGACCAGTCCGACATGGATTTGATTGTGTGTTATGTGGCATTGATTTACATGTATGTAAAAATGGGGCGTGTGTAATATGGTGAGTGCAAGAGGAATAAAAATCAAACCAGACAATACCTGAGTGAGATAAAGAGGATTACTGTCCCCTCTGCCATTAGTGTTTTTGCTATTTATTGTTTCAGTACTTTATCAAGTTTCCTTAGCATTTCCCAATATAACTCAACATATTGTTGCTTACAGTTCTGCCTGTCTCTCATCTGCAATTCTCACTTTAGTAATTCGGTCGTCTGTTTTCCCTCACTGAGTGTTGATTTCTCTTGCTGACCACTTCCTCTTCACTGTGTTTGGTTTTTTTTCTCACATATAGAATTTTTTAAAATTCACTGTCTTCTCTAAACGCAAAATTAGGAAAATCATGGTTGTTTGAATAATTTCTCTCATCCTTCCAGATCGTCTGAAAGGTAGAGTGAAAACTTGGAAGTTGGCAGAGGAATAACTGCAACAACAGAGTCTATTAGTTAAGGTTGGGTAACCAAAGTGAAGTATAAGCATGGAAGTTCTCTAGTTCTTTCTGCTCAGGAGAGCTCCTCGCTTTGCTACTGAAATGTCTGATCATTTCATATCTTCTGTCTCCTTAGTGCTTCCCAACCATTCTCTTCCACCACTGAAAAACTGCCAAATCAGTCAGAAGAACAGGAATGAATCCTCTTTATGTTTTCTGTTCCCAAAATATCTTTACATTACTTCCAACAATAGGCTTTTGGTGGGCATTCTCTGTACCTATCAGCTCCTCATTCTGTGAAGGTGCCCCTACGGAGTCCATCACACCTTTCTGGCTGTGTGAGGTCAATATTTGTGTGTTGTTCACATTCTGCAATTTTAAGCAAAGCCTTAACCTTCTCACAAAAGAATGAAGGCAGCACGTATTTCAGTGCAGCCACATGGGACAACTAAGAGTGCATGGGGCTAGCAGTGTGGTGGGTGGGCAATGTGCTGTGACAGGCAGAGTAAAGGATTGTCTCTGGACCTTTGGGGCTTAGACAGGACTTACAGTCCATTTAAGACCCTAGTAGCAGTGTGGGTGGCACTGTGTGGATATAAAGTATGTGGTATATTTGTGTGGAGATGTTCAGGAGGATGGGTTGTGTGGAAGACTAGGATGGGTTGTAGGCATGTGACTATGGAAAATGGCAACACCAAAGTGGCCTAGGAGTGGCTGGAAAATGTTTTGGCAGGTGTTTGGATTATTGAGAGGTTCCTATTACACATGTTATGAAAGGATAGCTGTAACATTTGTTGTATCTCCGCAATTTTACCTTTCCAGAGAGGGAAAATAAGCTTGCATTGGCAGCATAGCTTCTTATGAATTCCTATGAATCAGATGCATACTGTAAGGACTTGTCAGTCTTGTGCTTTAATGAGTATGTAAGAAAAGGCAGGCACTGGGACATCACAAAATTTAAGAAAAAACAAATCAAGGAGGATCTTTTGTGTTTGTCTTTAACACACATCTTCTCCAAGTATCTCAGAGGCTTCACCCACATGTGCTGAAATGGGTGAGAGCTTGGATTTTCTGAGACTAGCGGAGTCCATGAAAACCTCCACTGATTGAGCAACTGACTGCACTGACCTTTCTCTGAAGTACTTGATGGCTTCCTGGTCTAGGAAGTTCTGCTCTTCTCGAAAGCCCTGCTCAAAGATTTTGCGCTTGTGTCTGAACTCAATGACAGTCTTAGTGTAAGAGTTCAAGGTAGTAACGGAGGCCGCCATGCAGCAGGTGAAAGAGCCCCATGCCAGACTGTGAAGAGAGAAACCAGCAAACAGAGCTGGGTTAAGACAGCAGCTCATGGTATATTTCTGACGCCTAGAGACACACATACACAGGATGCTACTAGGCAGGTAAGTCAGTGGTGACAAACCTGTTCTTCTCATCTTACCTCAAAGGATCTGTGGCAGGTGCTCAGGCATGCAGGCAGGATGCTGGGCTAGGGGTTGGGCACAACTTTCATCCCATGGAGAACTGTGTGGCAGAGTGCTAACACGAACACTTGGTGCACTCTGACAGAAGAGTCCAATGCCTCTTGATTTCCCTTTGAAAAGTTTCAGAGCCTCACAAACAAATGCTAAAATCTATAGACCAGTAATGAACTCCTGGAAGAAGTAATGCCCCAGAGAACACCTCTTTTGGACCAGTACAAGTTCCCCAGCATCCATGAGAGACTGACTCTGCACAACACTACTGCAGGGCTGGTTTCTTTTCCATTTTTTATGCCTTCATCAGACTACTGTATTTCCTTCTTTCCTGGCTCATGGACATTTCCAGCATTCCTGGCTTATACCTGGTCTCTGAAAGCCTGACCATAATAGAAGACAGCACTTCCATTTTATCCAGAGATACAATCTGAGCAGTGCTCCAATCATGCAGTCTTGTTCAGCCGGTGGCAGGATACCTGCAAGTACCAACCAGGAGCACAGGAAAACAGAGGGAGAAGGAAAGCGGAGGAGAAAAAGTGACTGCCCCAGTGCCAGGCTGGAACAGCAGCACGTAGTGTTCTGGGTCTCCTGGCAAGGAGAGTTCAGCTGGGAGCTGCTCTGCTCCCTGACTGTGGACTGGGTTTCCCCTGGGTGCCTTCTGCCCTCCCTGCGCATCTCTCCTCCAGCCTTTACCTCACTGATCTCAAGTTCACATGTAGCTGGGGGGGAACTCATGGCCCCAGGACGTTTAGGTGCTATTTGAGCATGAAATGGGGCTACAGAAAAGGCACTGAATTCCTCCTTCTGTCTGCAGAATTTATCTGCCTTCAGGCTTGCCCTAACTTTACATTCAGCCCATCAGCTCCAGCCACATACAGTTTGCAGTGGCTTCCTAACTAACGTGGATTAACTTAATCATCTGTGTCAGCTGCACACTTTACCTGCTCCTTGCTTTCACCTTTTTTATAACCAAATTGAACGTTGATATAAATTATGCAGAACAGAAAGCATATAGCCACAGTAGCATTATCTTATAAATACACATTATCAACAGAGCCCTCGGTGTGAGCTGTTTTCCCATTCTGCACAGGTTCTGCAGACAAGGAAACAGTTTCTTATTTCAAATTAGACAAAACTTGAAAAAGAACACATATTCATGAGCTGAAAAATCTGGGGGAAAAAATGGTTCAAATAAACAGAAATGGCACATTTCAATGATTTCAAAATTCAGTGCATAACAAGTCCTCTAGGGACTCCCATGGCAATGACGTGTGTGGAGGCAGCCCTTTCCTAGTCATTTTGGAACCTGTTTGCCAGATGCAATCAAATGAGAAGGAACACTGGGGTGATGAAATTCCCTTAGGTTTTCCATGGTTGGGTGGAGATATGGAAAGAAAACTCATGCTATATGTGAGTGTCCAGGCACAGGGAAGCCTGGCAAGTGTCTTCCTCCTACACAGAGTGTGTGGAAAAGCTCCAACAGCTCCAAATGTTTCCAGTTGGGCTCCTAAACAATATCAAGGAAGAAGCCAGCTGAAACCACATGCTTCACTGTGCCTGGTTGGTGCCTAGGGAACGACATACAGAGAAAAAATACTCTTGAAAGTCTCTGATAATGTCTAATCGTTGACTCAGAAATGCTGACAGGTTTGGAGAAGGAAATACAGAATGAAGACCCTCAGTGTGACCTCAGGTCTGGCATTTGGTAAATCATAATAATGAGACAGTTACCATTGATGTGTTTGAGTTTTTCTGGACCTTGGTTAAATGTTATTTATTTTCAAGTGTAAAGAGGGGTTCTCCTACCTGTAAGAGTTACATCCTACCTTAGGCAAAGACCTGTTTAACATCAATACCAGCTGTGTCCCAGTTGTGATAGGGCTGTACCTATTGTGCCTCTGGTAACTGAGCTCAGGGCTGTGCCCTCAAGTTCCTCTGTGGCTCAAACATCTCAGGTTTGTGTATTTGTTTTCTTTCTAGAAAGGCTGAGTGTGAACATCTGCAGCTCCTCAGAGCTACTGAAACTCCCTGCCTGGAGAATCCCCTGGCTCACTCCGGCTTGTGCCAGAGCAGAGACCAAACTCCAGGTTTTGTCAGTAGCTTGGGAGTGCAGTAAGATGACAGGTGCATTTTCAATCCCGGGGCATCTGAGCAGATCACAAGCAGCCCTTTCTCATTTTGAGGAGAGGGAATTTTATCATTCCTTCTCAATAGAGGGGAAATAGAGTCACAGGAAAAAGAAAGAAAAGTTTTCTCATGGAACTTAGGAAAGAAATGGCAATCTAGATCTCCACTCATGCCGTTTGGCTCTTGGCCATGTGGAGAATGCTCCCTGGCCCCACTTTTCATTGGTGTTACAATTCTTTGTGCTCTGATGGATTGTCTGGTGGCGTGCTGCAGTGGTGCTTTTTAGAGAAGGTGGTAAACAATGCTGATGGTTCAGGAGTATTTAAAGGTCATGCTTCACACCACCACCTGAACCCGGATGGAGCACAAGGAAATTGCTACATGTGCAGCACTTCCGAATTCCACCAAGTTTGGTGGGCATTTGTTTTAACCCTTCTTAAAGATGTTCAGGTCTGCGTGATGCCAAGGGAGGTTGTACCTCTCTTGTCTATTCAGAATGGTGGTTCAGTGTTAGCTGGAAGGAAACTAATGTTTTTGCTGCGTTTGACTTTCAGACCTTCCTTTGTCACGTCTGCTACCAGTCACTGACATGGTTTGAGGAACTCAGGCTGCTGAGCACCGTTGCAGGCAGAAAATGCTGCTGCTGTTCATGCCTGTCCCAAGGAAGATGTGACTGAGCTGAGCTTTGTACCTTGCCCGGCGTCCTGCATAGGCAAGTATGTTGTCTTGGGAGGTATAAGGGGAAGGAGAGAGATTACCAAATCTGAAAAGCTGCTTTGTGACAGCAGTAGCTTGAGTGGAGCTCAGCTTTATCTAGGGTGAACCAACAGTCACTGCACAGACTGAAGCTGACATCCCACTTCAGGAATATGTGAAGGGCTGAGGTTGCTCCCACATACTTCCCTGCTTATAGGAATCTCCAGTGTCCTCCACAGTGAGGCTTAACCTAGGGTCAGTCCCTATATGGAAGCCTGCTGTGGCTATGACTGTCTGGGCAGAGCTGCAGGCAGGGCATGCCACGTCTGCTCTGGGACAAAGCTGTAGTTTAGGAGAGCAGACAGTGCTGTGAGCTGCCATCCCTCACAGGATGGGATGCTGGGCTCTGAACAGCTTGCTCGGAGCATGGGTAGGATGAGAGTGCCCAGGGAGGGCTCTTAATGCCCTACAGGACCCTTGTGACAAGGGGCTTCTTGTCTTGCACAAGATGAAGGAGAATAATCTAATGAGTGCTTTATCATGCTGGCCATTTAACAACATTGTGAATTTTGAGTATTGCAGTAAATTATGAAATAGATTACTGATTACAAATTAATAATGTGCCTTATTATTTAAATATATTAATAATTATACAATTGTTATGGCATAATTGTTATAAATGTTTATATAAATATTATAAATATATGAATGCAGTATATTTACAAGTTCATCTTCAAATGCAGTAAATATTCATAATTGAGACACAAAATAAGCTGTATATTAAGTATAATGCGATTTCTATTTTGTAGCATGTTACTAAAATGTTGGTAACTCCTCCTGTGAAGCACAGCATAGTGAGGGGAGAAGGAAAGGCTGATAATCCCCTGCTGTGCTGTGCATAAGAAGTATTTGTACTTTTTTTACTGGCATTAGCAAAAGTTGTTGTCTCTGATTTTAGATGGAACAGAAATAAAATGCTATATTTAGAAATGAAAAAAAAAAAAAAGTATTTTGCCTAGCCATCCAGAGGCTCATGCCCCTAGAGGGATGTGAATGTTGTTTGCAGGTATTTCTATTCTCCAGTCTCCTGTGCTCGTTAAGCTTCTTACAAACTTGCAAGCAATATAACACAGTTGACATATCTTGGCCAGATTAGTTTTATGTGTTTCTTATGAGATAAATGGGAAAGATAAAAAAAATTAAAATAATCAGTCTCTAAAATGTCATGTCCGTTTTCCTAAGCCTTCTCCGCATGATCCACAGGGAAGTAGCATGGTGCCAGGAGCACTATGCCTTCCTCTGCGGCTGTGTTAAAAGTTGCATTCTAAGGTTCAACTGACACATTAATTAAAAACAAAAACAGCAAAAAAAAAGCTAAAAGTCTCTGAAATGCCATGGTAATTATGTACCTAAATTGAACTTTAATGAGAGTGCTCAATCTGTGCTGGTAATTGTGGGTGCTGTTTATTTACAAATGCTATGTACCTGCTGATATGCACAGCTGCTGCTGCACAGTCAGTGATAACTGTCCTCTACACCTCAGCAATTGCATGGCCATGGTGTTTTTTTTTGCTCTTAGCATTTTGGCAGCTGGGAATGCATATGCATGTTCCTGAAAATTTGAGGTGATATGTACAATATCCCAACAGACTGTTGGAAATGGAAAGATATTAGCTGGTGGTGACACTTACCAGAAGGACCATCCATAGTCCCATGAATGGGGTCGCCAGTCCTCTGGTCCAAGACTGACTGTCACTTGGAAAACTTGAGTATACATCATGTGTGCCACCATCCCCAAGAGACCTGAGAAGCAGAGATGATATTAGGATTTTCTGTGCTAATGTTTTTTATAATTCTTGAGATAGCTCCTGCTGGAAGTGCTTTGAAAGCTCCAGAAGAGTCTTTGTTGTACTTTCATGCCTCCTATTCTACTGTGGAGGAGGGAGTTGCATGGGCAGAGGAAAGGTGTGACTGAAAGCTCATTATTTTACATCGTACTGAATTCTCAATAAGAGAAGAGTTAAAGAAAGAAAACCGTTGAAGAAAATGTTGCACAATTAGCATCACCACCAACCTTGCTGCTGCAAAACAGGGGTATGCCACCCACAAGTTATCTCACTTAGCCCATTGCAGACAGGCCTCAGGTAAGGGAATAACGAGACAGGCTTCTGTAGGCAATGCAAGATTGAATGTGTTAATGCCAAACGATGATATTTTATCTGAACAGTTGCCAAAATTTATAAACTTGAAGACTTATAAAACACTTTGAAGTTACACAGGGAAGTTCAGTGAACTCAGTGTTCCTGATGATGTGTGGTAAGGGGATACTCTAGGAATAGTTTTGATGGTAAAATGTTAATGATGCTTGCTTTTGTATTTTGCTGAGATAACTATAGCTGGGTGAAGATTAGACACTCTACTCACCATGATGCTAAAGAACAGGGTTGTAGTTAAATCACAGGGTAGCCTGAGTTTGCCACGTAGCTGGCCAGCACGGTTCTTCAGCTTAAGCAGAAAAAAATGCCTGAACTTTACATTTAGACATCTCTTCGAGGAAAATCAAACCCCACTTTTCAGGAAGTGGTGGCCAAAAGCAGCTCTGATGCTTGGAGATTTTTTCTAACAACAGTAATTTTGAGTGTGTCTGCTTTAGTACCTCAATAGTGCAGAATGATGCTCCCAGCTGTGCTCACAAAAAGCATGGATTCAGGCAGTTAGCTAGAGTGGGGCAGGGTCATCATATCCCAGATACACCTTGGACCTACAGATGTCAAAAACCCCCTTGTGTTATACCGTCATTTCAAGGAACTTAGAAATACTGATGTTCTGCCATTGTGGGATACAGTGCAGTCCCATATATTTCACTTTGCACCTTAACTCAAGTTGCCATTTGCTGTTGTCTCTGACCATCTACATTTTTCCACATTTGCCCTTCCTCCATGTGGAAGATCCTGGTTTTCCATCCCCAGATCCAAATTTTGGTTCTTTTTTCCCCCCTTACTTTCAGGGTCTAAAGCACTTCATTTGTCTCACGAGACGTGTTGATCAATCAGGGCAGTTCTGGGGGAGGGAAGATGGGGACTGTCACGTTTGTGTTGTAGGTGTGTTAAGCAGGACCTTCAGCAAGATGAACATCATATTTGATACAGACAACTGCATAGGCTGAACAAAGACATTTTATTACAAGAAGCTGTGGTGATTTGCTGCTTCATGTTGGTGTGACACACTGCAAAGTTAGGAGGTGGAAAGAGCAATTCACAAGAGAAGAAACATTTCGGCAGGGTGGGCGGCCTAATGGGAGCACAGCAAACTGGTACACACCTTGGTTGTTTCTGGCTATGTTTAATTTCCAGAGTTCACTGGGACCTTGCTGTACTTTTCAGTGGATTTTTCTCCAGCTACAGTTATTGCATTGATATTAAAATTTGGGGTTTGCTCTTCCTACAGCTACTGTCAGTTATTTTTCAACCTTAATAAAATATTACAGACTGCCCTGAGATATGTCATACTCACTCAGAGCCATTGGGAAGTTTGACACATGGAAAAGCTGATCTGTTCTGTTTATGAAAAACCTTAATGGGGTTTCAGCAATGTTCAAACCTTTTGCTGTGTAGGAGGCCAGGATGACAGTCCACTGATACAGCTGAGTAGGAGGTCATCAGCAGGTCCTGCTATATGTAACACAGGGACCACAGCGAAAACGTGGCATTCATTGCTTTATCTGCCTCAGCTGGGGAGGGTTGGGGGCAAATGTGTACCTGGCTGTGCTGTCAGTGGCATTATGCCATGTATAAGCTATAGCAAAACAATACAAGTCTTTCTTTCATTGTGCTGCTTCATGCACTTCTGCTTTGGTTTGTTCCTGATGCCATGCATTGGTTTGGTCTATTTTAGATTTGCTTTGCCAAGTTCACCATGGGGATATCCTATAGTACTTTTTTAATGGTCACATTTTGGATAAAATGAACTGCCTGTAACAAATCAACAAATGCTGTATTTACAAGATCATTTCTTCCTCTAACTGGCTGCCTGAGGCTGGACAAAGAGAACAAAATGCCTGTATGCCCACCCACCAGGTCCAGGGCAACAGGTCCTGATAATACGGTGTGCTGGAGTGACGGGGTGGATGGGAGTGCACAGACACTGACTGTTTATTGCTGGCTTGAGATCATTGGCCTTGCAGAACAGAGCTGTTTCTAGGTGTCAGTAATGGGAGAGTTTAAGGAACTAAATTTGGAAAAGACAAGATATTTAAAAGCATTTTCAGATATCTTTACCAAAAATATTATTCATGCAATATATCACATTAATTAAAATGCTTTGTTATCAATATTACATGAAAGACATATGTAAGGTTTTCAATTTGTATAAGGTTAAGAGGGATACCAAAATTATAATGTCTTTTGGTTTTATTAATGGGTCATAAGAGGTAAAGAAACAACAATAGGTGGCCACACGCGAAGGATAATTTTTTCTCACCTTTAGATATTGAGCTATGAGGATATGAAGATCTCATTGCACTTTTAGGAGGAAATTCTAGCATGAATTTTGTAAGAGGTCTGTTGCTCCAAGGCAAAGTCCTCTTTGTTACCTAATTTCTATTAAGCTATGTCATTATAAATATGCTAAGTTTAAATAAAAATGCTCTTCTTCTTTCCTCTCGTATCTCTGTCCCTGAAAAGAATAGCTGGCATTCTTTTGGAGTTTTGGGCTTTTTTGTTTCTTTTTCTATCCTTTTTCTCCGTAAAATTTTGAAGTTTGTATTTGGAACATCATGACAATGTACTTACTTATAAAAAGGGAAGGGTAAAAATAAAAATAGAAAAATGTGTAGGAAAGAAAACTTCGTAATTCTTACAAAACTTCAAAACTGTGATTAATGGTAAAGAGAAAGAGAACAGCATGGAAACAATTGCTCGAATGCTGAAGAATTCCAAGTAGTTTGAGTTTGAAAATGGAACGAACTTTTTTAAAGATCCAAATTATATCCAAAGATGAAAAATAAGCTTTGGCAGTTTTTACCAGATTTTTTTTGTTGTTTTTCTCTCAGTTCTACATCTGATCTGAGTTTTATACCACTACCAGTATTTCACAATTTGAAGCTACCCCTGAAGATACAAACTCCTTTACGGAATGTACTCTGCCTGTTATAATCTCTTTCAGATTGAAATACAGCAGAATAAAATGCACTTTTATTGCAGAAGTTCTTTCTTCCAGAGAAGACCATGCAGGAGTGCTCACAAAAGCCAGCTGGTTGCCTGTATAAATCTGGGGAGGTGGAGTTTTTTGCCAGCAGAGACGTGAAGGGACACTTAGTTACGTGGTTAGATTTGATAACTTCTTTCAGAGAAGTGAATTCCTCAAGTTCATATGCTGAAGGGTTCCAAGTATAGATCAAGCATGAAAATCTGCTGAAACAGTTATTCTGAGAGATGTACACGTCCCCTCATTACTACTGGGCTTGTTCCTATGTGTGATTACTAGAACTCTTCATTCTCTATTTTCCTAATGAACAAGATGGGCTTCTTCCTTTGGTTTGAAGCATCAAACCTTCACCTACTTTCAGGATTAACATGGAAAAAAGAATTTTCAACACTATATGTTTTTTCATTTTCTATTGGATAATCAGTGTGATGATGCTGAAAAGGGAAGCTCAGGCTTTGGCCAGGATAATGACTATGCGGGCCGGGGGAAGGCTACTTACCGCATTGCTGTTGTGAAATTGGGAATATGTATTTTTGGTGACAAGAGGCAAGTTTATCATGTAGTCCTTGTTGCAAAGTAACAAATAATTATAGTGAAAAATGCAGTAGCTAAATGGGGATGAGAGATTCTTGCAGCCCCTGGGTTTTATTCTTTCAAAGTTTTAGAGTTCTCTTTCATAGTGGCTCCTTGGGCAGAAAGGAAAGCAAGGTTCATACCTGAAAGCACAGTGAAGACAGCAGCAAAGGCATTTAACTTGAGCCCATCTATCACACTGCTTGAATGAAAGAGCTCGAGGCACATAAGGCTGAATCCGACGACTAACAGCATGATGTATAACACCTCGGATACTACTGATAACCACAGGACACCTGTAATGCACAAGAGCAGCAACTGGTCACTTAGTTGGTAAATACATTCAAGAGGTTAAAGTTTATAAAAATTGGTTAGGAAATCAGGAATATCTAGGAGTAATTATGTATTCGGAAAGTTTAAATTTAGCAAACCACCACCCAAACTCTGAAAAATAGAAAAAGTGGTGAATGAAGATGTGAACTGTGGCAGAGTGGTAAAGATGATACTGCAGAAACAATAAGCTGTTGTTTAATATCCCAGTTTGGCTAAAGAACCTCTCTGGGTGTATCTAGAACCTCTCAGCTCCTCTGACCCAAAGCATAGGACACAGAATTCATTTTCCCTCTATGTGTCATGGTTTAGATGAGCAGAATTTAGCGGTGGTGATGGCATGTAATACTTTACAGGATATGGGCTGGTGGGCGATGAACAGGCTTGGATACCTCTTTTTTCATAACACTGTTCAAAGAAAATGTTTTCAGTCCAAGTTTTAAGATGTTTATTATAGCATAGCATTGGGGCATGTTATTAGAAACTGTTCCACAGAAACTGGTGTCCTGCAGAATGGCTGTTCTGACTTGGGGTGTTTGGATCCACTGCACAGATCTCTGCTGTTGGGAGTAATAGAAAGACAGACAGAATCCAGGTGGGGTGGAGCCAGTTATTTATAACTCAGCTGAAGAGCTGCAGACACAAAATTTGGACTGCCTTCTGTTTTCTCAGCCCCTAGGTACAATCCTTCAGAGGAAGGGCAGAGTTGACATGCCCTGTTTGTACTGCACATTCTGCAGGACTCTGAAGTTGTGCACAGGTAAGTGAGTCTGGCAGCATCTGGTAGCGGCTGGCTGAGACTGATTCATCCCCTGTAGATGTCACATTTGGAAATTTGAGCACAAAACCTCTAGCAGGATGTGCCGAGTCTTTTAAAGTCACCAAACCATGGAATAAATTTGAGAGGATGGGAACAGATTATAATATTGAGTCCCTGCCAAATTTCCGATCACTGTTTCAGCATGAGAATCTGCTAGATTTCTTCACTACATTTGCTAACCTGATTGCTAGAGAATTCACCTGGAAACAATGAGCAGTGATGGAAAATTTCAGCCTAAGCAGTTGAAACATGGGAAGTTAAGCATCTGAAGACAATGGCTTATATTAGAAAATGTTAGCTGTAACCATAGAGACTGCTACAGGCTTCACTTATATTAATACCTTCTCTCTTCACTGTAAGAACATATGTGTGATAATGCCTATAGTTGAGCTTATCATACCAGTTATGCAGTCTCACTTCTGTCAAATATTGGAGTGTCCTCTTAGTGACCAGATTGATCCCAGCTCTCATTTTGTCTGGGAACTCATCTCTATAATTGCATTGAATTAATATGTACTATTTGTTGTTGCCACCATATCTGATCTTTTGAGGTTTTAAACAGTACTACAGAGATAGTAATAAATAAACCTTTTAATTTCTCACAGTGTCTGTATATGTAATACTGCATTAACAGCATACAGCTGTTTATCTCACTCCTATTAGTCAATTTGGTACCAGGGCAACTGGCACACTTTTCCAAAAAGAAGTACAAGTGAGAAACAACAGGATGTTGTTCTGTTCGGCAGGATTAAGAAAGGATTTTACCTCATTTTATCACAAACAGAAGTTTTATGACATAAGAATGATGGAATTATTTGAGTTGGAAAGAATTAGATTATGTATACCTGGCCTATAAACTGAGGCAGCAGAGACCCCTAATTAATGAGTTCTAATTCATAAATATTTCAGCCAAAACTTGAAAGAGTAATATACAACATATCTGCCCAGATATTTATTGCCCTGTTTCAATTCTTGAGTATACTCACTGCTGGTATCTACATACAAGAGCAGTGCTATAGTAGTGATTGCAGCTCAAGACTGTGGTGTGGCTCTGTCCTCTACTTCCTTGGGTGAACAACTGGCTGAAGGGTCGGGCTCAAAGAGTTGTAGTCAAGGGATAACTTCAGGCTGGTGGCCGGTCACTAGTGGTGTTCCTCATGGCTCAATTCTAAGGTCAATTCTCTTCAATGTTTTTATCAATTACCTGGTGACAGGAGTTGAGTGTATGCCAAGACAGTTTGCTGGTGATACTTAATTAGGAGGAGACATTTAGTCCCTCAAGGGTAGAGAGGCCTTAGAGGGAGATCTTGGTCAAATTGAATGCTGGGAAATCAGCAACCATATGAAATTTAACAAGGAGAAATGCTGGCTTCTGCTCCTGCGACAGTGTAATCCTTGATGGATGTATAGATTGGGGAACATAAGGCTGAAGTGTAAGCTTGTAGAAAGGGATCTGGGGGTTTGGTTAATGGCTGGGGGTTCGGTTGATGTACATCAACTGTATACAACTTTTATCCGCCTCCCATCTATGAAACAGTGCTTGAAACTGGATGCTGTAGGCACAAGGGTAGAGTGCTTGAGAAATTACAGGAAGTGGAAGCACATGTCTATAAGGAAAATTCCAGTTTAACATGTCCAGAAGGCAAGTGAGGGGATACCACTAGAGTCAGTTTTGTGAACATTCAGAGTGACATACAAGGTAGGACAGAGAGAACTTTACCTTCTTGTACTGTAGAAGGCAAAGGTCTTGCTGTCTACAGCTGCCTCATGGAAGGATGTAGATAACAGAGACAGACTCTTAGAGTTGAACAGGAGTAGGATAAGACAAAATCAGGCCCTGAGCAGCTGGATCTGATGGTCATACTTTCAGCAGGGACTTGGACTCAAGTTTCCAGAGGCCCCCTCCACCCTAAACCGTTTATTTAGGGGGCCCTGATTATATCTGGAAAGGAACTCTATGTCTAGCTCTCATGTCTTATTTCACGGTGTACACTGAGTATCTGCTCTGTGACTTTTTAAAATGCATTTAATGTGGGGAAAGTAAGTCACACATGCAGTGCTTGCATGCTTCTGAGTATGTCCTGTCCTGCCTGCTTTGATTTTTAATTTAATCTGAAATAATAACTTCCAGAAAGTGCAAGCTATATCTGGATTTTGCATCTTCCTGTGGCTGCCAGAAGCAGAACAATTGATTCAGGTTATTAATTCAGGAGACAGTGTCTTTCTGTTCTGTGCTGATGGTGAAGTGATCTCCCACAGCTCTTCTCTCAACATGAGATTCATGAGGCAGTCACTTGGCATTACTTACTTCCACTTACAATCTCTTACAGCCTCCTGCCTGCAAAGTAGAGAGCTCCTTCTCTTGAGGAGACCTCAGTCATGCCAAGTGAGGGGGACGAAATTCTCCAGAGGATTTTTCTCTTTCTCTGTCTTCTCTGCTGTCACCTGTGCTGTCACCTCTTCTGTCTGTCTGTCTTATTTCCCACCACCCTGTGTCCTCTGCTCAAGGGATTTGTCTGGCCTAACTTAGCTTTTGTGAAAAATCTTTTCTTCAGAGGAGTCACAACTTGGTTCATTTGGAGACTTCCACGTGGATGTCTTGTATCTGAGGGTCTGTGTTCTTATAAATCACCGGCCTTCTCTCATCTTTTGGTCTTCGTTGCTGTTATGATTTTTAACTTGCCTATTCATGAATCTGACTGTACTTGTGCAAAGAAGGTGCTGTGGGTCACAGGTGGGATTGTTCTGAAGTTGAACACCACAGACTGTGAAGCTGTTCCTGGAGGTAGAAGGGTCACCATCTTCAGGACAATATCCTTGTGAAGCAAAAGTACTGGAAGTCCAGGACCTGGGCCAAGCTGCTCACCTGGAACTTGAGGTGGCAAAGCTGGGCCTCACCAAAAAATTTCACATAAATCGACTTACATTATAGGACTCCTACCTCAGAAGGAATGATATAACCTTCATCTCAAGACAGATTGCACTCTATGATCACCAGCTTTGCCTAAAATGAAAACATTGTCCTGCATCTGTGCTTCTGTCATTGTCCAGAGATTCTGATTTTGTAAGAAGATCAATAAATTAGTCAGGACACTACTGAACGTCTTCGTGTCTCTGAAGGAATTGTTATTTCCTTAACAATATACTGAGAAATTGCTTTCTCTGTGGAGTTCATGGTGAAAAGCATCTGTGCCACCTCCCTATAGAATTAGCCACCGCATGAGCATTGTTACATGCCAAGGAAATTAATTTTCCGGCAACCCCAAGTGAAGTGAACATACTCTTCACTGTGAATGAAAAGGTAACTGTTACCCACATGATTGCTGAAATTTTAGGAACTCAGGTACATCATGAACCATCTGACAAGATCAGTCCCTTGCATTTCTGTCAGACAGTGGAGGGCAGCATCAACATTTCGAAAGAAGATTCATAGGTACAGAATGCATTTCTGCAAAGCTGGTGATCATGTTAAGTACATCTGCCAGAGATAACATGGTAACAAAAGGATGTTTCAGTTCTGACTGAATGAAACAAGCTGATATTTTTTTGACATTGAGGTAAGGAAGCTTTACCTCAGCCTGCAATGACTCTTGGGGCTCAGAAGTTCTTCACAAAATGTGAATTTATTTCAGGTCAGCCCTGATCACCAGGGAAGACATTGTAAGTGAACACGCTATTAGCTCTCACCAAGGAGCACTCGAAGTCAGGAATCCCCAGTGCTGAGTTTCCTTTGAAATAAGAATTCCAAAAAAAGCCATAGAAATTCTGCTTAGAACTCAAGGCATCAGACCGCATTTCAGTGAATTCCTGATTAAGGAATCCATCAGTATGGTTAATGACTTCCAAGAATTTTGGTGTGATTTTGACTGTTTGGTATCCAAGTTAAGAAGTATAAATATGAAACTGAGGTACTGCTGTTGTTGTCATAGGTTATTCTGTTGGTACGCATCTGGACTTTTTCCTTTGGAGTAAGAAACATTAAGGGACCATTCACAGTACCTGGAGCGAAAATACATATCAAAGCATCAAGTATTCTTTGTTGAAATCCACTGTGATTTCATGTCATAAAAAGCCAACAGTTGCTGACTCCAACTTTTCTGAGAGAGCGCTCTCGTTGAACTGACCTCATGAATGTCAAGAAGTTAC